AGGAGGTCAGACTCATATTCTCATGCCTTCCATCAAAAATACTTCAAGATTTAATCGTTGAATCCCCCAGCTGTTCAGCACTACGCAATAAGAAATTGAGTTGCCTCACTGCTGGTACTTGTGTTTGTCACAGAAGCGGCAAGAGTTTTACAGTGTTGCAAAGCGAGGAAGTGTCGTGTACTTTAGCATGGATGGAATGAGAAACCTTTCGCCCATGTTAGAATACTCTCTTGATACATTCTTGCATACCTTCCGAGTAGCCTTACGAGAAGCACGGCAGGACCGAATACTAGAGAACCGCCTAAAAAGCCTTGTTGACAAGGTCACGCAACTATCATATGACTACATAAGCTTAGGTGAGCCTCCCGTTAGCACCCATTCTTAAACTTCCCAGCTGCAACTGAAGAAAGGCGTTCCTTTCAAAGGGCAAGCAACTGTTTTTCTTTCGTCAATATCCACTGGCGGTATTTTCCTTTGCATCGGCCTCAGTTGATTCCCTTGCCGCAAATTGCTCTCTTTGTGTCCATAGGTTTGTTTGAAAGTCAGAGACTTATTTTTGCTTTCCATTTAACCACAATGATCATGCGGCATGACGGAAAGCTCCCTGAAGAAGAGCTTGACTTTTTCTTGAAGGGGAGTAACACGATTTCCGAAGGGGAAACGAAGCCCGAGGAGTTCAGCTGGATACCAGACAGTGGATGGAATGATCTGTTTAAGTTAAGCACGGTCAGTCCAGCCTTCCAGGGACTGCGGGAGAACGTCCTCGCCGAGCCCCAGGTGAGCCCTTCATTTTCTAGACGGTGACGGCCTCCTATTGAACATTAGAACAAAGTTTTCCTCAGTACCTATTCATGGCCTTTCAGTTGAATTGCAACTTGCCATAGAGGTTGCCTGCGGGGCTGTGGCTGAACGACGAGGCCAGTGGGAAATGTTCCCTCTAGTAATTGGTGTCCCGGGGCCCTCAGGCGTGGAAGGAGTGGGCAGAAGATGACTCAGCCGAAAAAGCTGACATGCCTGGCCAGTGGAGCAGAGTGCTGTCTCCGTTCCAAAAGTTAATAGTTGTCCGCGTCTTTCGTGTGGATAGAGTCCACAACGCCATCAAACATTTTATTCAGTGGAGACTAAATGAGCACTACGTGCAGTCGCCAACGCTGCAGTGAGGAACTGAGAGCCCCTTCAGGACGCTTATTAAACTTTTATGCAGAGCGATGGAAGTGGACTAACATGACTCATTCCCGGCTGTCTTTGTCGTCAAAATATTGCTTGCCTGCAGATACTCTAAAATATATGCGCAGTCCTCCGAGCTTTCGCCAATCCTTCTGATATTGTCCCCCGGTGCCAACCCTTTCGCCGCTGTCTCTGCTCTTGCCGAGTCCATGGGTCTTGCAGGTCAGCCGAGCTACGCCAGATGGGATAAGCACTTCGCTCGTTGCGTCCCATGTTGCACCTCCTGATGAGCCAACTTCAGGACTCCACGCGTTGCCCAGCCATTACGCATACGATTGATTGTCTATTTTGCTTGTTTTAGGCAACAAATTTCGACACCTTTCCATAGGGCAGGGCATGGGGGAGCAAGCCGGACAGCTCGTAGAAGTTGGTTACCAACGAGGATTTTGGATAATGCTGCAGAACTGCCACCTGCTCCCAGGATGGCTTTCGACGCTAGCTAAATTGCTACAAGGTATACGAAAGGAAAACATTAAGAAGGCATTCACCACTATTTAGTTTCGAAGGCCAGTCATTGTCACTGAGTAAATTGTGCCAAGGGTTATTTTGCAGATATGAAGAAGCCACACAACGGATTCCGCCTGTGGCTGACTACGCAACCAACACAAGACTTCCCTCTGAGCATTCTGCAGGTACCTTACTCCAATCGATGTATTCCCTCAAGATTCCAGTGTGTATTGCCTTCACAAGGTACCTGTCTTCTGATTGGTTGCCTCTGAACATCTCAGGCTTCACTTAAGGTGGTGACAGAGCCACCTGACGGCCTACGGGCGAACTTGCAAACATCTTATTCCCTATTCCGCGAAGACGCGTTTGAGCAGTGCGCGCATCCCGCATATCCCACGCTGGTGTACACGTTGAGTTTCTTCCACGCGGTTGTCCAGGTATGCTTAAAGTCCACATGACTTGAATTCGACCGCAGAATAGAACCTTGGTGTTTGCAACAAAGCAACAGAAATGACAGCTGGTGATGCGATATACAGGAGAGGCGTAAGTACGGCAAAATTGGGTGGAACGTGCCGTACGACTTCAATGAGTCCGACTTATCGATATCTCTGAGTCTGGTGAAAATGTATTTGAGTAAATCTTCGCGGGGTCCCGAGGGTCTTCCTGCAGAAGGGGAAGGCAAATCTGCTGAACTGCAGCCTGGCGCTCCTCCGCCAACAGCTTCAGATATTCCGTGGGAAACGCTGAGGTATTTGATTGGGGAGGCAATGTACGGAGGCCGTGTGACAGATGACTATGACCGACGAGTGCTTGCAACATACTTGGAGGAGTATTTGGGGGAGTTCGTCTTTGACAGCTACCGGCAGTTTTCCTTCAGTAAAGCCCCCATTAGCTACGCTCTACCCGCGGACAGCTCGAGTGCAGGACACATTGAATTCATAAAGGTATTTGCCGCAGTATTCCGTTACATCTGCACGAAATGCGTTTTCCTAGGAGAAACGTTGTGCATCCCTCCATAAAATATTGCGCTTCAAATGTAGTTATTCATCTTCGGATTTATACATGCTTTTAAAACTGCACTGCCGCGAAAGAGACGGGCCATGCTTTGGAGGAGTGTTGTCTGCAGAACATGCCCTCAAGCAACACCCCTGAGGTATTTGGGCTTCACACGAACGCAGAAATCGGGTATTTCGTCGAGAACGCAAAAAGCATTTGGCACGGACTTTTGAAGATCAATATTGCGAACTCCTCCGGGAGCAACAGTGACTCCGCAGTGGGCAGCCTTAAAGAAGAAGCTCTGGTCTCAACTATCTCAGAAATACTCAGTAAACTACCTGAGAACGGCCTCTATGTCTCCGCTGGCCCCGATCCACCAACGCCTACACAGGTTGTCCTTGCTCAGGTATATCACTGTTCGTTGTTTGGCGTTAGCTTAAAGTGCTTCAATTTCGAACCATTTGTTGTAAAGGAGATATAGAGGTTGGGGCCATACGCACGAGAATACATACCAATAACGCAGCAACGCTACTGCTGTTTAGCTGTGTGGGGGCGACCGCAGGAGCTTGACCGACTGAATATACTGACGGAAACTATGTCTCAATCTCTCCGAGATCTGTCAAGAGCACTTCGAGGAGATATCGGCATGTCAGGAGATCTTGACGCCCTGGCCTTATCCCTGCAAGCAGGCTTTTTGCCCGCACAGTGGCGAGCACTTGCACCCCCCAGTTTGAAGCCTCTAGGCTCTTGGCTCTCTCATTTGATGAGACGAATTGATCAATACACCATGTGGATTACGCAGGCAAGCGAACTCTCCTTTTCCGTGCTCCCTAGTTGCTATGCACCGGCAGCTGCAGCAACAGCAGGCATCTGGAAAGCTACCTTGTGCTACAAGGTCGAGCAAGGGGTGGGACCCGCACCTGCCGCTCCGACGCCACGCATTTGAAGCCTTGCATTCTTCTCATCATCATCATCGTCATCATTATTTGCTCGCTTGTTCCTTCAGGGAAGTCTCAA